CAAGCGACCTTCTCCCGGCGAGGTCTGCCCGAACTGAGCGCATAGGCCGGTCTCATGCCTCAGTGATTGCGCTCTCCTCGGCGAGGGAAAGATTGACGCCCGTATCGCAGGTGCTGGCGTTCCTGGTCTTGCGAAGGGCGCGACATGCGGGCGGATTTCCTCGTTCATGACGGAGCCCGGTGTCGTAGGTCGACTGTGACCAGCCCGTTGATGTTCTTGACCAGCGCTCTCGAAGCGCGAAATCTTGTTTGCGTGAGTCGTGGGGGAGGTCCGCGGCCCATCGTGGGTTCATCCGACGAAGGCGATGACGAGCGACCCTACAGTCAGCGCGAGGACGACGAACGCGCTGGCAGCCATCCATGCGAGCTCGAGCGTGTCGAGTGGCTCGAACTGCACGCGGTAGGCCGCCTTGTCCAAGGTGGCGAGACCAGAGCCGAGACGATGCATGGGAATGCTGTTGCGCCTGCTGCTGCGACGGCCAGAGTCGCCCGTCACGGCGTTTTCGGCGCCCGCCTCGGTATCGGAACCGAGGATGTCGTCCTCGGTGTCATCGAGGGCAAAGTCGTAAGCTCCGCCGGCGAACGGAGCTTCGGACGCGTAGGACAGCGAGGGAGATGTTGCAAGATTCGGAGGCGGCGCTGTGGGGTGGACGCTGAGAAACGAGAAAGCTCGCGCCCGAGACCGGTTGGCTGGACGCGCACGCTCCTGTTCGACGCTGTCGCTGGCGGCCGTACCGTGGTGAGAACCCGTGCGAGAAGTCAAGTCGGGCGGCGGACGAGTCGGAATGTTGACGGCGGCTATGTCGTTGGGCGCGGGGTCCGACGTCTCGTTGTCCGATTGCGACGTCGACAGATCGTAATTCAAAGCGGCATCGTACGCGTAGCCGGTGTCGGTGGTCTTCCGAGGCGTAGCGAAGACGAGGTCGTCGGAGAGGGACCCGACCGACGAGGCGATCGACAGCCGCCGCGGATCTGTCGAGACCTGCATGGAGAGCGACCTTGGCTGGTGTACTCTGTGCAGACAATCTCGGCTGCAGAGGCTGCGAGAGAGGCGGCAGACGAACCGACGTTGACGACGGGCGCGACTTGGCCTCACGCTCGTCACATCGCCAGTCTGTTGGAGCCCGAGCAGAGGTACTGTTGGCACGCAAGAGGACCAACGCAAGACCGCTTGTCGAACGCGCCGCAATCGCTACGCCGCAATCGCCATGGCCTCCGCCCACCCCGCCATCAATGGCACGGCGACCGCTGCGCCCAGCAACAAATCAAAGTCGAGGGGACAGCTGAAGCGACTCAAGAAGAAGGCCAAAGGGCAACACAGCGACGCCGCAGACCAGGCGCAGCAGGCACCCGATCGCCCTCTCGAGCGGCCACCATCAGCGGTCAGGCCAGACCCCGTCGCTTCACTCTGTCCGCATCCAGCTGACTTTGGCTTTGCTCTGGTGCAGGACTCGGACGTCGTCGCAGCTGCCAACATCAAGCTCGAGGGCGACAACGGCGAGCAGGCGGTCCCGTCGGGCTTTGCGGATGTCTTTGCCCACTTCCAGCTTCCGGGCGAACCTGTCAAGGCGAGTCTCTCGGCACCGCGACATCCTCCTTCTCCCAAGCCGAGTGCTGACTCGCGTGCCCACTCTCAGAGCGAGAGCGGTCAAGCTCCCGCCGGCGACGAGAAGGGCCAAGTCATCTATTCAGATGACGAGATGCCGTCAGAAGATGACGAACACCCCGCGGCCGAAATGTCGAAGCGCAAGCAGCGTAAAGCGAATCGGTTGTCGGTTGCCGAACTGAAGCGACTCGTCAAGAAACCCGAAGTCGTCGACTGGGTGGACGTCTCGGCGAACGACCCCAAACTCCTGATCGAGATCAAGAGTCACCGCAACACCATCCCGATCCCCCAGCATTGGAGTCAGAAGCGCGACTACCTGCAGGGCAAGCGCGGTATCGAGAAGCCTGCGTTCCAGCTTCCTAGTCAGTCTTCTTCTCCCAAGTTCGGCCGTGCCTCCTGGCGACCCTCACTCACAAACGTCTGTACCGATCTCGTCCAGGCTTCATTGCCGATACCGGCATCGCTACGCAGCGCGACGCGGTCAAGGAGAAGGAGGACTCGCAATCGCTCAAGCAAAAGACCCGCGAGCGCGTCCAGCCAAAGATGGGCAAGATCGACATCGACTACCAGAAACTCCACGACGCCTTCTTCAAGTACCAGACAAAGCCCAAGATGAGCGAGTTTGGCGAGCTGTAAGTCCTCTAGCTTGCGTGCGTTGCGCCGGCGCCCCCTTCTCTGCTCACGCGAATTGGCTCCCGCAGGTACTACGAGGGGAAGGAATACGAGACCAAGCTGAAGGAGAAGCGTCCGGGCGACTTGTCTGACGAACTGAAGGAGGCGCTATCGATCCCGCCACTGGCGCCGCCGCCCTGGCTGATCAGCATGCAACGATACGGTCCGCCGCCAAGCTACCCGAATCTACGCATCCCTGGTCTCAACGCGCCCATCCCGGAAGGGTGAGTTTCCTTGCGCCACCTCGTATTCGCTCTGCCGCTCGAGACTGACCGCCTTTCCCGATGTCTAGTGCTGCGTGGGGCTTCCACCCCGGAGGATGGGGAAAGCCACCTCTCGACGAATTCGGACGTCCTCTCTACGGCGACATTTACGGTGTTGTGCCCAATGGCGCCGACGGCATCGTGAGTCGCGGGCTCCTTTGGCTGCGAGAATGCCTCCTGACTTGCTGTTCTTCCTTAGGGTGGAGATCCCATCGAGAGGGATCCGTGGGGCGAGCTGGAACCGGAGGAAGAAGGTGAGCACATTTCCCTCCAGGCTTCTCACCAGCTTCATGCTGACATGTCTTCTGCACAGTCTCCGAAGAGGAGGAATCCGAGGAAGAAGAGGAGGACGAGGACGAAGAGCAAGCCGCGCCGGGAGACGGCTTGCAGACGCCGTCCGGACTGGAGACGCCGTCGGGCATGGCCTCCGTCACGTCGACAGTGCCAGGAGGTCTCGAGACGCCCGACTTCCTCGAGCTCCGGAAACAGCGGGAAGAGACCGAACCCGAAGTCGACACCGGTCCGAAGTCGCTGTACCAGGTTTTGCCGGAGCGGGAATCGCGGATGCGCGGCTTCATGGGGTCTGATCGGGTGTACGACGTATCAGGAGTCACGCAGCAGGCGACAAAGGCCCCGGTCTTGGGGCAAGAGGACCGCGGCACGAAGCGCAAGGCCGGTGGCGTCGAGGTCGCACTCGACGCGGCCGAGCTTGAAGGTCTGTCCGAGGCGGACCTCAGGGCGCGTTACGAGCAGGCGAGTCGGGCCGGGCGGTCACACCACGAGGACTTTAGCGATTTCGTCGGCGAAGAGGTGGCGAAGCGGCGAAAAGTCGCAGAGAGTAAGAAGCGAGACTCGCAGAAGGAGAAGTTCAAGTTCTAGTAGGCGTCCTGTGGTGCTCCCTCCCTTCTTCGTCAACCAGTTCTGGACCGAGAGAAAAAAAAACGAGAGGGATTGGGGAGACTACAGTCAGCGGTTCGGCCGGGAAGAACTCCGAACTTCTTCAGCGCTTCAGAGCACCCGAGGACTTGGCCGAGATCGCTCTTTGACCTCCTCGCGTCCACGCCAAGCCAGTCAAACATGCTCCGCTCTGCAGCTCGTGCCGTGCCTCGCTCCATATACCGATCGCCGACGGCCGCTCGGCTCCGCCACGCTTCGACCGACACGGCCCAACGCCGTTTCGCGGTTTACCAATCTCAGACGACAAATCCGGTCGTCTACGCCTCGCTCGGTCTCGCCGCCTTGTTCGGATGGACGGCGGCTATTCTCATGGTGGGCGGCCAGGGCGAAAAGAAGCATGCGGCGACCCATGCCATCAAAGAAGGTGAGCGCTCAACTTCTGATCCGTTCCTGCCGCACACCCTCGGCAACCGCAAGTTCGACACATGTATGCGCGCTCGCCATGTGGTCGTGGAGAGCGCGATCGCTTCTACGGGCAGCTGCCAGCGCCATGGAGACGAGTCTCGCGGCCCGAGGATGCGTATGCTGACTGTTCTGTTGCGCCTTTTCCGCTGCTTGCGTACAGCGGTCACCTCGGCCGCGGACGCCACGGCGACCGCAGTGACTAGTGTGACGTCCGCGGATGCATCGAAGAAGGATGACCGGAAGGCGGCGGCACCGGAGGCACCCTCGTCAGAAGCGGCGGCGTCTTCACAAGCTGCGGCCTTTAACCCGGAGACTGGCGAGATCAACTGGGACTGCCCTTGCCTCGGCGGTATGGCAGATGGCCCGTGCGGCGAGGAGTTCAAGGCGGCCTTCTCCTGCTTCGTGTACAGCGAGGCTGAGCCGAAGGGGATCGACTGCGTGGAGCGCTTCAGGGACATGCAGACTTGCTTCCGCAAGCACCCGGACATCTACGGCGACGGTGGGTGCCTTTCAGATTCTCGGTATCGATATCCATGGGCTGATGAGTCAATCCACAATAACAGACGCGATGGACGATGAGGAGGATGAAGAGTTTGACCTTATCCAACGCGCCGAGGCGGCTTTGGCCCTGCCGGACGAGCACTTCCTCGAGATTGCGGCTGAGAGTGCGCCGACTCGGAACGAGGCTAGTGCCGCAGCAACACTGGAGTAAAAAAAACAGCCTTCGTGAAAGGTTTTCGCCAGTCGTACGTCTCCTTCTCCGGCTGTCGCTGTCTATAATGCAGTAAGCGCGTGAGATCCCGCATGTGCCTTGAGTTGGGCACCTTCAGTCTGGCTTGGCCCTCTGCAAATGGGGTATCATCCTGGTCATCCATCCCAGAAGCTTGTTCGGATTGAGGAAGTGCACTGTGCAAGCACTTGGCACATGAGCAAGCTTGCTGCAAACTCAGCTTAGGTCCTGTACGGGGTATATTCGGATCGACCGGCCGTGAACTTGCAAGAGACCGCGCACATGTTGTCGGCTTGCTGGATCGCAACCACCGGGGCAGAGCAATGTTGGATTATGTTGGCAATGTTCGTAACGCCGAATATCAAGTGGCCTACTTGGTCTAGTAGCATGATACCTCATTCGGGTTTAGTTACCAGCTTGCTTGGCAAGTGTGCATTGAGGTGGTCGGCGGTTCAATTCCGCCAGTGGGCCTTTCTTTTTTCCCCGGCGGCACCTTTTCTTCTTTTTTCCCTTTTCTCCTCCGAGAGGGTCCACATGCCAGTGGCACACAGCACGTACCCGCTTCTTTCTGGTTGGAGTGTGGCCCAGTGGGTGGGCCCTGCTCCTTCGGATCCGTCCGCTCTCCCAGGCCTTGGTCCAACTTGCCAAGTCCTCTTCCAATTCCAAGTCCTTTTCCTCTCGCTTTTTTTTATTTGAACCTTTGCTGACTAGATCCCTCTCTACTCGTAATCAACGCTTGACTCACCCTTGCTCTACCGTCCATCGCAGACTCTGCAGAGTACCCTCGTCTTGCTCGCGCTTGAGACAAGTGGCCTCTGCAGATTGCTTGTGTCTTGCGTTGTTTTCCTGTGCTTGCAGCCGGGCGAGATCAGCAACTGTTGCTTTACCTCCAGCACAGGATTACAAATTCTCAGCACAAAGAAGGTAATTTTAACCAATCATCCGTGCTGTGTATATGTGCGTGCGCGTGCAATCCGGTGAGGGGAGCCTTTGCCTTTTGCTAAAAAGCACCTCCACTGTCGAGGTGGCAGGTCCTTTGAGATTTCCGAGGTACAAGGGTTTGAGCGGGCAAAACATGCCTCCTCACGCTTATCTCTTTTTTTTTTTTTTTTCGAAATCCTAATCTTGAGAAGTCACTGTTTGTTTGGCTCTAGCTTTGCTCTGCCCCACTACAGCCTGACCTGTGCACGGTGCCTTGTCTCGCATCGAGCTTGAGTGTGAGCCCCGAGTGCTGCTTCAAGGACCGTTGCACTGGCTGGTGTGGCTCCTGGGTTCTTCTTTGGAAGCTTTATTGCTCCAGCAACAAGGACAAGCAGTGGCAGTTGACAACTGTAGGCTAAAAAGCGTCTTCGTGTTCAAGCTCCCGCTGAAATCCGGCTTGATGGCGGTGGTGAGTTTCTGCCCCTTTGACATGACTACTGCATAGCGGACTGGTATGTGAGCTACCTGTCGGTGTCCTTCATGCCCTGCCAGCAAAAAGGTGTTAGAGGGAGCCAAAGACTTGACCTCTGCCGAGGCTGGCAACCACGAAGCAGACGTGAAAAAAGGGAAGGCGTGACTGGGGATCGAACCCAGGTCGGCTGGAAGTGCTTGAATAATCAGAACCAGCAGTACTAACCACTATACTATCTCGCCGCGTTTTCATATTTTCCTTGGCCCAACGTTACGTACATATTGGCTGGGCTGCAAAATCCTGCCCTCTCAGTGGAACAGCCAGTACTGAGAAATACGGCAAGCTTCATTTGGCACCTGAGGTAAAGATCCCTTGGACATGAGCGTGGCAGCAGAGGTTCTTCTCCTTCCTCTGCACTGTGAATGTAAAACATTCTAGTGCTAAATCGTCTGTTCTTCCGTGGGCAGCGCTGCCGCTGGCCGCCTCCCCAGCTTCCTTGTACGCTCACCATCACAACAACAGATGAGTGGTCGATGGGCACGGCAAAGGCTGGACTGTGCTACTTCTACTTTCCTGGCATGCAGCCTGTCAGTGTTCTCCTGAATTGTATCTGTTATTCTGACAAATCTCACAGGGTGAAAGATCCTTTCTGTAGCATAGTCTTGTCACCGTATCTGACAGAGCACCCCAGGCAATACACCGCATGCCCACTCTGTTGGCTACGCTTGTGATTGTTGGTCAAAATGTCTACTTGAAGATAAATTTCCATCCTTATGGAATGCCAAGTCAAACCCAGCTCATGCCCTCACAAGCAAAGCAAGTAGCTTGGCTCGAGGTATTGCACTGTATTTTTGTCGGCTTGCCTGTACAGAGTGTGAGAAGCCTGAGTTAACAAAGTGTGCACTTTGGTTGGCCGTTACCGTGTTGCTTGATCAAGGGGGGTGGGTGGCTGTCACGAACAAAGAGCAGAGGACAGGATACTTGTGCCTGAACCAGCTCACAGGATCCAGCAGGCAGTTGGGGCTGACATCTGTCAGTCTCATATTCCATGCAGTACACAGTCTGGCAAGTGCTACGACTCAGCCTGCGGTCTTGCTGCCATCTTGCTCCTTTAAAGCCTTTCCCAGATCGGAGTCTGTTTCTCTTGCTCAGTTTCACCTGAAACCTTTGCTGGCTTGATCCTTCCCCCT